ACACAGCAGGGCTCATCCCCTCCAGCAGGGGGCGGAAGGGACTGACAAACACACACACACACACACACACACACACACACACACTGTCCCTCTCTCTGCATCTCGCCCTCTAAGGTTGAGTGCCGGGCCCTTGGGGGGAGGCGCGTGGCCCCGAAAGAACCCCGCTCTCCTTCCAAACAGTTGTTTGCGTTCTGCGTTCCCCGGCTTGCTGCATGCGACGTTCCGGCAGCGCGTCGAGAACCGACGTGGGCCGGAGGAAGATACATTGAATTTACCGTCGAATGAAATAGCCCCGGGGTGGCGCCACGGCTCGCACCAGTTGGTTTCATACTTAATTCGATCCGAGCCTGTGGTTTTTACAACCTGAATGAAGCTGCCACACGGTTTCCGGCTCGCTGCACTGGAACAAGGGATTGCCGCAGCGCTGAGGCCAAACGCACCATGGAGACTACGGGGCCTGAGTTAGATCCCGCCCCGGGAATTAGGACTGACCCAGAACCAACTGCATGGGCCCCATTATCTGGGTGTTGTATGTAAGAAACGCATAGAAAGTCCAGTCCCCAAAGCGCTCGCCGTCTCTGGTGAGAGGGGAATGAGGTTCACTTTACACCAGTGGGGGCAATATCTTTAGCCCCACAGAAGGGGAAACTGAGGCACAGAGCAGGACCATGACTCACCCAAGGCAAGGAACAAAAGCCTGGTGGCCAGCGTCCCAGCACCCTGCCCATTAGACCGCACTGCCTCTTGCTACCAGTTTCTCCCATTGGTTTCAAATCGGGTTCACTCTCTATATGACCCATTCTTCTCCCCTCGGGGGGCTGGTCTATATAGAAGGCAGCAACTTACTACTGCCGCCAGTTAGTGGAGTAAATTCTTTATTCAGAGATTCCAAGGCCAGAAGGAACCATTGTGCTCATCCAGTCTGACCCCCTGGATAACACAGGCCTGAGACCTGCCCCCGAATAATTCCTAGAGCCAAGCTTTAAGGAAAACCTCCTGTCTTGATTTAAAAATGGTCTGTGATGGAGAATCCGCCCCGTCCCTTGGTGAGATGTTCCAGCAGTTATTGACCTTCCCTGTTACAAATTTACGCCTTATTTCCAGTCGGAATTTGTCTAGCTTCATCTACTAGCCATTGGGTTGTGTTAGACCTTTGTCTGCAAGATTGAAGAGCCCGTTATTCAATATTTGTTCCCCATGGAGGTACGGACAGCCTGGGATCCAGTTACCCCTTCACCGTCTCTTTGTTAAGCTAAATAAATTGAGTTCCTTGTGTCTTTCACTATAAGGCAGGTTTTCTAATCCTCTGACCCCTCTCCGATTTATCAACATCCTCCTTGAATTGTGGGCACCAGAACTGGACCCTGGATCCCAGCAGCGGTCGCACCAGGGCCGAACACAGAGGGGAAATAACCTCTCTGCTCCTATGCGAGATTCCCCTGTTTATACATCCAGGATCGCATTAGCTCTTTCGGCCCCAGCGTCGCACTGGGAACTCCTGTTCCGCTGATTCTCCACCACGCCCCCCGGATCTTTTCCAGAGTCACGGCTTCCCAGGAGAGAGCCCCCCCATCTGTCCGTCTAGCTCAAGCGGTGGCGAGCGGTGCTGGAATCCAGAGGCTCAGAAAAGCCCCACTAGTGAGCCAGACCCCCAGCGTGACGTTAACAGACCCTAATAAAGACAGAGGGGATTTCTTCCATGAGCGAAGAGACTCTAATTGGACCGAGCAGGCCATATTTCAAATAGACGGGGTTGCTGGCAGGACTGGACCCATGCGGCCCCGGCCGGCTGTTTGGCCCAGATCCACAAAGGTATTTGGGCTCCTAACTTCCACGGAGACCAAGTGGAGTTAGGCGCCCAAAGAGCTTTGATCCTGAAGGGTTACGAGGCGGGACCGTGGCTCCGTTTCCCTCAAGCTTTGAGCAGGCTTGTACCAGGCACCCGGTGCCCCTTGGCTGGGCTCGGAGGAGATTCGATTGTAGACTAATCCCGGGGCATGGAGCGACCCGGGGCCCGGCTCGAGGGGCAGCTGCAAAGGAAAGAACAATGGCCCTGATGCCTCTTTCAGTGCCGGCGACGGGCTCAGCTGTTGAGCCTGGATCTTGGGGTGTCTCTGGGGGAGCGGCACCCAGCTCCCTGCTGTTCTCCGTGCCCAGCCCCTCCGCTCTTGCTGGCCAGTGTGCGGAGTGGCCCTTCCTGCCCTTCCACAGGGCCACCCCTCCTACCACCGCCCAGCTAGGGAGAGAACCCAGGAGTCCTGATTCCCAGCCCTCCTTGCTCTAACTGCTAGCCGCCACTCTCCTCCCAGAGCTGAGTGTGGAACCCAGGAGTCCTGATTCCCAGCCCCCCATGCTGTGACCGACTAGACTCCCCTCCCCTCCCAGATCGGAGGAAAGAACCCAGGAGTTCTGGCTCCCAGGACCTGCTCTGTTCTAACCACTTTGCCAGGCAGGGCAGGGAGTCAGAACGCCTGGGTTCCACATCTGGCTCCGCCACTGACTTGCTGGGCGACCTAGGTCAAGTCTCTGCCCTGTTCCGCGCCTCAGTTTCCCCATCTGTACAATGGTGGGTGACAGGGAGGCTCCTTGTCCTCTTCCCCACCCTGCCACCCCCCTTAGTTGATGCAGCCTTTGGCATTTCTCCCACAGGACATCTCTCCGGAGGAGCTGAAGAGCGAGCTGCCAGAGCGCCAGCCCCGATATCCTTCTGCCGTGGGGCGGGGAGGGGGCATCCGAGCCACCTGGCAGGGCGCGGGCATTGCACATGGTGGCAGGATGCCAGGAGTATGCATGCGGGATGCGTGTGTGTGTGTGTCCCCTCTGGGATCATCCTTGCCCCCCGGGAGAGGATGGGTACCGGGGCTGTGGGCAGGGAAAAGGGTCCCTTGTCCCCAGCTTGGAGCAGATTTGAGATCAGAGGGGGCTACCAGGAGATCAGAGCAGCAGGGGGCAGCGCAGAGAGGGAGAGGAAAACGAGTCCCTCTTGTGGGGGGGGGTGAACCCCACAACCCCCCTGCTTGTGACTCTGCCGCGTGGTGGGAGGCTGGGCGGGAGCACCAGAGCTCCGGGCCCACCCGCCCTGGGCCCTGCAGTGCTGGGGTCCTGGGAGACCCCAATGTGTCTGACAGCTGGCGGGGCTGACATGGGTGGGGGCAGCCCAGAGCGGGTATCGGGGGGCAGGCGCGGCCAGGAGGGTGACGACACGGAGAAGGATAGCGACAGGAGCGTTTCAGTGGTGGCCCAGCTCAGCCGAGAAGCAGCTGCATCCTTGACTGGGGCTACCTTTGTGGTGTACAGTTACAAATACGTCCATGATGACGGGCGCATCTCCTACCCGCTCTGCTTCATCTTCTCCAGCCCAGTCGGTGAGAACCAGGTGGAGCGGGGTCCAGTGGTTAGAGCGGGGCAGGGCTGGGAGACAGGACTCCTGGGTTCTATCCCTAGCTCTGGGAGGGGAGTGGGGTCTAGAGGTTAGAGCTGGGCACCAGGACTCCTGGGTTCTCTCTCTGTCTCTCCCCACGGGGCAGGGTGCAAGCCGGAGCAGCAGATGATGTATGCTGGGAGCAAGAACAGGCTGGTGCAGGCAGCCGAGCTCACCAAGGTACCAGGGCAGTGCCGCCCCTTCGAGCTCCTCCCATGGGCAGCGCTGGCACCCCAGGGACCCCTGCTCCCCATAGCCCCCTCACCCAAGCTGCCAGCCACATACCCATGCCGGGGGGGGGGTTACCTCTGCCCCTCCCCTCTGGCCCATGGTGGAAGGGGCTGTCGCTCTCCCCTCTCCTACACCCTGCTCTGCCTCGTCTCAGGGCCGGGGGGCTGCCCTATAGCATGGGGTCTTATTACTTCCTTGCCCCCCGGGCCTCCCACCCAACTAGCAGGGACCTGCCCTCATACCTGGGATCTAGCCAGGACCATCCCTGCATTGCCCCATAGCTGGGATCCCCCAGCCCCTAGAGATGGGATCGGTACCCCCCCATTCAGCATCCACGCCCCTGAATCGAGGCTCCTCTCTGGAGGACCCCCCATTAATGCCCACCCCAGCTCCACCCACCTCTCCCCCCGCCCCCCAGGTGTTCGAGATCCGGACCACGGAGGACCTGACCGAGGAGTGGCTGCGGGAACGGCTGGCCTTCTTCCGCTAGGAGGCGGAGAGATCCCCCCCACGGCCGGCTCCGAGATCCCCCCGACTCCACCCGGCCCGGGACCCCCACCCCCTCCAGCCACTGTCAGGGAAGCAAATAAACCACTTGGACTCCAACCCAGTGTCTGGTCCATGTCTGAGGTCTGTCCCTGCTTGGGGTGGGGGGGGGTAACCCTGCCACCCCCAGTGTTGCCTGGGTCTGCCCCTCCCCCCATTACTGCCTGGGTCTGTCCCTGCTGGGGGTCTAACGCTGCCCCCCCTCGCCTGCTCTCAGTTCTGAGCCCCCACCCCCATGGCCTGGGCCTAGCAGAGAAGCCCCCCTCCCTGTGCGGAGCTGAAGGGTGAGCCCTCGGGGCCCACCCCGCTCATCCCCTCCTGCCTCCCCCGGCCCCACCCCTTTGCCAGGCCCCAGACTCTGGGAGCCAGGACTCCTGGGTTGGCTGAGATGGGAAATCGGAGGTGAGCGTGAACCCCCCCGCTTCTCGCCCCTGGGGAGGGTCCCTCCAGGGCTGGGCTGGGCGGGTGGGGGAGCTCACCCTGCCTGTACTCTGGGGGGTACCCCCATTCTCCAGCCTGGCACTGCATTCCAAGGGAGAGCGCCCCCTACTGAACCCCCCAGCTACTCGCAGGGTGCCCCCCACAGCCTGCTTGAGCAGCGTCCTGCTGTCTCTTCGCAGCCGGGAATCGGGGATTTGCAGTTCTGGGCGGGGGGTTCCAGGGGGCAGCGATGATTCAGGGGGGGGGCATGGGCAGGGCTGGGGGGGTGCTGGGTTTTTGATTTATGAAAGAATCCAGATTAGGAGGCAAAAGGCTGATTCTGAGCTGGGCCCTGAGAGTTAGCGCAGGGAGGAGAGTGGCTTGTGGCGTGTGGCGTGCTCGTCTCAGAGCAGGGTCACACACACACACACACACACACACACACACACACGCTAACACACACAGAGCAGGGCTCATTCCCTCCAGCAGGGGGCAGTAGGGACACACACACACACACACACACACACACACACACACACACACACATAGGCTAACACACACAGAGCAGGGCCCATCCCCTCCAGCAGGGGGCAGCAGGGTCTTTCACACACACACACACACACACACACACACAAAGAGTAAGGCCCATCCCCCTCCAGCAGGGGGCAGCAGGGTCACACACACACACACACACACACACACACACACACAGAGCAGGGCTCATTCCCTCCAGCAGGGGGCAGCACACACACACACACACACACACACACACAAAGAGTAGGGCCCATTCCCCCCCAGCAGGGGGCAGCAGGGACACACACACACACACACACACACACACACACACAAAGAGTAGGGCCCATCCCCCTCCAGCAGGGGGCAGCAGGGTCACACACACACACACACACACTCACACACACACACTACACACAGAGCAGGGCTCATTCCCTCCAGTAGG